AGACCTCTCCAGTGGAAGCAAAGCAACTATGGAGATAACTCTCATCCATCCAGTGATGCAAGTCGCCAACCCAAATTGTCCTATTCTCGCCGATATATCCCTGAGACTGCTGCTGCTGCTGCTGATGCTAAGGATGCTGTACGTGGGGCGGGGATGATGCTGGTACTGCGGGTACGGCATGTAGTGGTGAGGTGCCGGCGGGACGAAGTGCTGAGGTGGCATCATCTGGTGCAGCATTACCATCGCCGCCGCCGGCGGCGGATACTGCATCGCCATCCACTGCGGCTGTGGCTGTGGCGGCTGCTGCTGCAGTTGACTCTGCTCCTGCGGCTTTTGTGGCTGCGATTCAGAACCATCGGTTTGCATCCTTATCTCCTCCGCTTACTATTTTTGTGTCTATTCATGGAGGCCACAAGTTTGTGTCTCTCCACCAAAAACCTATCTGGTTCCAGTCCACTCCTTTAATTTTTCATTAGTGTGGTCTGAGATTAGAAGGAGTTTGATTAATTGAAGGTGGAGGAATGATGGTGGTTTGGATTCCATCAGGGCTCTGCCCCAACACATTGACCTATCTGCCTTCAATGTCTTCCCTTCATAAGCTATTAGGTGTGGGCCGGAACTTTTGATGGTGAAATGGTTTTAAGAGTCATGCCACTTAAATCATTGTACCTCTTTCACTAAAGCTTATCTCTTTCTGTCATATTCATTCTTTAATATCTCCCATTTTCTCCTTATTTGTTTCCTCATCATAACTCTTTACAATTTTTTCACCATCAACTATGAAAAACTCGTTGAAGTAAGTATTAGGTATGATCTTCCTTTTAGATTCTTTAATGTTAATGGAAACATGGCAACATGTTATGGGATTAAGGTCAAAAGATAGCAGAGGCTCCAGTGGTCCTAGTATCTATGGAAGCTGGAAACTCCATCCATGGATTTCTGGAGTCTCTCTTTATGATGGAGTCAGCCCAACATAGAAAAATGGACGCACATAGGATTTGAGCAGTCCTGAAAAAAGGGCAAAAGCAGCTACATGCAAAAGGGGATCTGTTTTATACGTAAGTGGCAAAATGGCAATGGCATGAATGAAAAGCCACTTTGGTTTGGGGCTCCAACCTTGTAAAGCTAATTACTTTAATTCAACACACAATCTCAGATTTGGACCCTCCACAAGATCATCTGAAGAGACATTGACAAATCTCTATCATTGAAATCATAATGCTTTGAAGTCAAAGTAACTCATTCTGCAATCAAAACAGTGAAAACAAGTGAACGAAGATTTTCACTCTTGTAAAAACCATCACATACTTGTCCCATCCTTTGGGTTAGCCAGCTGGCCTTTCTGGCCACTAATCTTCCTCAGAGGGTTTGTCTTTGGTTAGCCTTATAGGGCA